CAAGGTCCCAGGCAGAGAACTTAGGAGGGTAGAAGGAAAAATATTTTTTTCCTCTCTTACAAAGTAATGGCAGCCTAATTCCTCAAAGGCTACTGCTCACCTTGTTATAGCCCTTCAGACCTGCTGCAATGTTCCAATTACCTACTAAGGCAGATTGCTACTTCAATAGCTATTGAACCCTTCTTTGGGAACTAAACCCTAATTATAGCTGGCACAAAGTCACTTGGAATAAAAACAGTCCAGCCTCCATGAAAGCTATATGTAGCCACTTGACTTTGTTTTGACCAATGAGATATAAGCATAAGTGTGTTTGCAAAATCTAGAAAATATTCTTTTTTAATTTTTAACTTTACAGTAGGTGTATATATTTATGGGTTACATGAGAAGGGAAATATCCTTAAAAGAAGTTGGTATGTCCTGTTGCCTTCTTCCTTCCTGCTGGCCAGAGTGTAAACATGTTTTCTGCAACTGGAGTAGCCACCTTCCTCTATGAAGTAGAATCCAACACATTGTTCTTTTTGAGCAACAGATAGAGAGAGAGAGAGAGAGAGAGAGAGTCTCACTCTGTCATCCAGGCTGGAGTGCAGTAGCATGTCATAGCTCGCTGAAACCTCAAACTCCCAGGCTCAATCAATTCTCCCGCCTCAGCCTCCCCAGTAGGTAGGACTACAGGTGTGCACCACCATTCCTGGCTGATTTATTTTTTATTTTTGTAGAGAGGCGGTCTCACTATATTGCCCAAGCTGGTTTTGAACTCCTAGCCTCAGGCAATCCTCCTGCTTCAGCCTCCCAAAGAGCTGAGATTACCAGCCTGAACCAATGTGCCCATGGAGATGTTATTTTAGATTTACTGAAATCCACTGCTGAAGCCAACTCTAATCTGAAACACAGTTTGAGTGAAACGACTCAGGAATTTAAATTCAGAAAAGAATGTTTAACAGACTTTATTAAAGCATACTCTGACACAGCTTCCCTTCCCATCCATAAATTCTACAAATACAATGGATGAAAGAGGAGAGAACCCAGGAAGTGAAAACTAAATGTCAATGATAAGGCAAACATATCAGTAATGAAGGAAACCCAAATGGATAAACAAGTTATTCTCTGAAAGTAGGCTGCATGTTCGGTGGAGGGCATTAAACTTGTTGAGAATAGACCCCATTAGAGCTGCAACGCTGCTTCCCAGGGGTTCTTATGCTTCTGAAATTATTTTTGCTTAATTTCAGAGAAACTTTCCTATAGAATCTAATCTGATTTTCACAGGTAGAGTGTTGCATACAACCAAAAAGGCATTTAAATGCCTTTGGGAATTCAGAAGAGTAGTTGTTCTGCCTGTAAAGGGCTGAAGGAATGCAGCTGACATTGGCTTGATGAGAATAAAAGAAGAAAGACCATGCTTTGATGTTTTTAAGAGAAGGAAAATAGTACTCTCCATGATTACAGTGATGCTATCTCATTGAAAACCACATTCTTAAATATCCCAGTGTGCAGTAAAAAATATTCCAGTACATCATATATTCCCCTCCTCCACTTAAATAGTATCAAATGCATGTCACTGGATTATTTTTTCTTTTACATGTTAAAAGAGAGAAATGGACAACAGAGTATGGACAGTATTACCTAGCTCCTGGTTTCCTACCCTGAGGTCCAAGAATGGGTTTCAGGTCATAACCTCCATAAACTGTATGCAAAACCTATGTGTCAACCTTTTTCTGGGTAGAGAGTCCTTAGCATGTCAAATTCTCAAATGAGTTCAAGAGAATGAATGAAGGTTAGATGGTGCAAAATACTTCTAGAGACCATAAACCT